GTAAGACTGTGACATTAAAAGAGGCTCTTTGGAAGTATATACATTATTATAATAATAATGTGTACAAGTCCTTTTGAAATGGTGGCTTTAATAATTTTCAGCTCTTTTATCTAGAGCTTGAGATAATTAAAGCTGAATTTTTCCGGGCATGTCACAATGGCAAAGTGTTCAACAGTGAGATGTCAGTGCTTATTTAGATTTGCCTACTGCTATTTATATAAAATTTCTTTCCATTCAGAGGATGCCTTTTATCCCCACATTAAAGCACAGATCATTAAGCAATAAAAACCAAATTGTCTGTCATTCAAATTATAACTGCAATTATTTTTGCATGGTAAGAGTGAGGTGCTAATTTTGTGTGAGATGAACTTTTGTAAACTACTTTGGGAAATGTTCTTTGGAAGTAAAGTTTTTTCCCCTTTAGTCCTATGCTTCCAGTTTTGTCTCAAATTCACAATCCATTAAAACATGGGAAAAAAAGAAAAGATAGAATTGAGACTTTTATAAAAAGAGAAGAGCTGTTTGGAATGAACAGACATTTCAGATTTTCCAAAAGGTTAAGTTGGGAAGGGTCTCCATTGTCTCGGCATTCACAGAATACATTGTTACACATCTTAATTTCGAGAGTGTCAGCACAGTGAGAGTCTCATTAAAAAGCATACCAGTGAAATTAATAGCGGTGCTTATCAAAGAATATTGAAATCTGTGAGAATCTTTCTAGGAGCATTCTTTTTTTTTTCTTTTAGTTCCAGGTTCCCAGGATATTTTTCATTCATAGTAGGTTTATATGACTCACAGAATATGGAATTTTTCCCCCTTGGAATATTTTTGTAATGTAGGTGGATAGCTATACCATTGCATGCATAAATTGCACATTTTGTTTCACTTTCTTTATAAAATATTTAATTTGAAAAATATAATTTATGCCAAATAAAGCATACCTTATAATTTTGCCACTTAACTAGGTTGATTTAGCACAAAATGCAAAGTCTTGGGGCGGAGAGGGGGAGTGAAGAAAAATTTTGTAAGTAATTGTTGAAAAATGCCTGTCAGAAACCCTAAAAGCTGCATTGTAAAACAAATGGTATAAATTAGTTTTGAGAAGTGGTAAGGGATTGTGAAAAAAAAATCTCAGACTTAATGCTCTCTAACCACATGATTTTCTTCTTTTTTTCTAATTTAGTAATATGCTGCTACATATTTGGAGGTTCTGGTGTTTGTAGGTCACTGAACAGACATTGAAATCTGATTTATATTGTATAACTGTAACATAGAAAGAAAAAGTATTTATATATTTTCCGTAAGAATATTTCATTGAGTTGTGTATAATTTAAATAAGATTTGTCCCCAAATGGTTTTGCTCACCTTGATTTTTTTGTTGTGGTTTTCTTGTTTTTGTATAATGTGTACAGTTTATGTCAAGGGCATTAAAAGCCTCCTGAAGCATAATATTATCAAAGGGATACATTGTTAATAAAATGTACTTAAAATTCTTAAACTTATGTTGTTTTATTTGAAAACTTAAAACAATCAGTAGTCATATGGCCTTGATTTGAATCATGTAATGCTAATGCTGACACATGTGACGCCCAATAGAAGTTACCTTTAGGGACCACAGACAGTTCAGTAATATGTAGAGCAACTGTTCCAAATATTTTAAAATAACACTCTCTTAAACATTCTTTATAATTTAATCAAACATCTTTTCAGTTTTTTAAATTTAAAATCATTATGGGGTTTGGATCTCTCCTTAAATAGAACATCTCTGAATTTTTTGAGGAAATAATATATAATAAAAGTGGTGATGTGACAAGGGTGACATTTCTGTGGAAGGTATTTGAATTCTCATGCATAAACTTGCCTGATCAGATAAACTAGCCTGTAGCCACCTACTGGGAGGAGGAAATACCACAAGGGAAATTATTATGCAGCTGGTCTTTGAAAAAAGTCATAATATAGCTGAAGTTTGAAAAGATTATTTAATTTTTAAAACTCTTAAGCATATAAAAATAAGGTACTACTTCTGCATTAGGTTTTTAAAAAGAAACTAAAATATACTAAAACTTTGTTTCTTTAATGGTTATCTTAGAGGAATAAGACAACCACATATATTTAGTTCTTCCAATTGCATATGCCTAGTTATTGTAAAGACATTATTTTAACCACTAATTCTGAAGAATTTCTATCTTCTATTTCTGTTCGAATGCTTTAAAAGTTCTACCTTATGCAAAGTGTTTTACATGTTTTGTAAATTCTTTGAGATGAAAGCCAGCTTATCTTTCAACAGAGCTCTTAGGAGAAATGTTAGATTATTAAGTCTAAGTCAACTTGATTTTCTTAATAAATACTTGTTCTAGTAGGTAACAGGGTTGACTGTGACTAGTATGGGTTAGGTGTTTGAATGTAGCAAGTGTTTTCAGCAGGTGTATGACTGTTGTGTGAAGAGGTTCCTGCCCCCAGCCTCAATCATCACGTGGCCCCCGTACACAGCTGAGTACTGCATACTGCCTGACGGGGGATTCAGAGGCCATTAATGCCAGCCCTGCCCACCACCCAAATGATCTGATATTTCTAAGGAATTTCTGCTAATGTGATTTTAGGTGCAATTTTTTTAACACTATTATGATCACATTAGAAAAGAAAAGCTAATTTAGAGAAATGCAAATATACCCATGCATCATATGATTTGCTTCAAAGTAATGTAAGGGAGAGTGAACAAGCATATGGATGGGGCTGAAACAGCCATGGGTGGTGGCTGTTGGGGCTGGTGAGAGTATGTAAGGGTTTCTTAAACTATTCTACTTTTGTGTGTGTTTGAAATTCTCCATAATGTGTTTTTTTTAATACTTTGATACTTCTACTGACACATGAATATAAATTTCAGTTTCTGAATAACTCTTCTTAAAGCAATGTTAAGATGGCATATAGTATTGAAAACTAAGGTTTTAAATACTAATTTATTTGGTTATGAACATTGGAGAGGAATGTTTATAGCCAAAGCTACAAGTCATAGTGATATTGTAAACACAAAGTCATGTAGCCCAGTGTTTCCTGTTGATATGTTGTTATATTTCAGGAAGAATTCATTTGATTTAGACCAGTGATCCTCAAAGTTTACTGTGTATCTGAATGCCTGGTAACATGAAAAATATGGATTCCTGGTCCCATGTCCTAAAGATTCTAATTAGGAAGTTTGGAGTGGTACCTGGGAATTTAGTGAGTTCATGAGGTGATTTATCAACTATACTGAATAATTGTTAGATTTTCATTTCATTGAGGTAGATAAAACACAAAATAATGTGATGGTGAAATGTTTTAATTAAGGCTTATTGCAATAGCAAAGGTTCAAGGTTTTGTGTATTATTTTTTACACAAAATCTATAAGAAAAATACCATGTACAAATCAGTCATCAATGTCACTGACATTTCTGAGTACAAGTTTCAAATGAAAATTATTGTATCATGATAAAGGAGTGTAAATAAATAGGATAAATGACGAGTATACTGGCCCCAAAGTCTTCTCACAACTATTAGACTAATCAAGATACAGCTCTGTATTATGTTAGGAGCACATAACCAATTTTTCCAGCAGAATGCTTAGTTACATGGTAAGGAAAAAGGTGAAAAGCTTCAACTGAAGAACTAGTTTGTGTAGGTATATTTAGGCCACTTGACAGCCGCATTATTTAGAGATGTGGATACTTGTCTCCTCATAACGGTGAAAGGCACGTTGCGTGGCGCTTGGTACCAGAGAGAGGCGTGAGCACAGGCAGAGTCATTTCCACCATGCTGACGGCAGTGAGGAAAACAAAAAGCCCTCTTTGTGCTTGTTTAGAAATGTGACAGATAAACATTAGGAGTTGATGAGCAGAGGGAAGAAAAAGGAACTAGCATGTACTGAACGCCAGTTATGTACCAGGTGCTTTACATATATTGGTTCAAACCATGCAAAGTTGCTGCAGAGCCAACAGAGAATTTCCTACTCCACAGAGTTTTTTACAGTTATATCTAAATCATGTCCAACAATGAGGTTTCATTTTACTTACTTTAGCATAAAAGGAATATAACTGAGAGAGATCTTGACCCAGACAACCTATTGCATAGTCCAAAGGATGCTAAGTGAAAACCGGTCATGTGCATATAGTTCTTGAAAGAAAAGAGTAATCTTAAAATGTGAATGGAATTACTTGATAATATATTTTCCTTCTATTCTGAGGTAGTCATAAAAAATTCTGGTAGAATACTGATATCTACTGAGCAGAAGTGCAACTGACACTAGGAGTTTTTTGCAATCTCATTCTTTCACTGCCGTAAGCTTGACAGAAGAACTGTGGAGATCTTACTGATTTACTCATACCTTTTACCTAGTAGGTTAGGTCTGTGCCTCCACAAAAGTTAATTTTACTGTGTCAA